CCCACCAGTGCAAATACACAGCCATATTGCATTGCTACTCATGTGATATTGCTCATATATATATTTATACATATATACAATGTGTGTTATTATTATTATTATCAATGTGTGTATAATATTATTTATTTGTTTAGATAATTATTTAAATCTTTTTTTGATTGCTACAGAACAAACCAACTTAACTTGCCTAGTTATCCTAGTTAAATTGCACTTTCAGCTAAATACTTGTATTTTGCCATCATCATGGTAAAGTAAACTAAAATGTAATGATAGTTTTGTCTCCAATTGTCTTTTGTCTGTATGTGCGTCATATATTACCACATAGAAAGGGAAAATCATTGAGAGGATGTCAGGGGAGTAAGCGTTATTTATTTCTTTATTTGTTTTGGGCCGTGCTGAAACTTAACCCATGTTTCTCATTGGCTGTGATGGCTTGTGATGTCATTACCTGAATTGGCCGAGAGCCCCAGACTGATCTTGCCTCAGGTTTAAAGCGTGGGATGTGAGAAAGAGCAGATAAGTGAGAAAACAAACCCAGCGCGAAAATCCTCCAGCGCTTGCTGTTTACTCTCCCTAACCTTGTAAAAACTCTACCAGTGTCCTCTTCTCTCTGATTCTCTCTCAATCTCTTCTTCTGGACAAAATCTTACTTGTTTTGTTTCAGCTGGAATGAAAGCAGTTCTTAATTTTTTGTAACCATTTTAAGGTCAATAATATACGCAATTAAGCAAATATTTTTTGCCGTTGTCTAAAGAAGAAACCATCATTATACAATGACTTGCCTAATTAACCTAGTTAAGCCTTTAAATGTCACTTTAAGCAGAAAACTAGTATCTAGAAAAATATCTAGTCAAATATGATGTTTTGTCATCATCAAAGATAAAAGAAATCAGTTATTAGAAGTTATTAAAACTATTATGGTTAGAAATGTCCTGAATAAATCTTCCCTCTGTTAAAAAAAAAAAAAGATTAATATATATATATATATATATATATATATATATATATATATATATATATATATATATATATATATATATATATATATATATATATATATATATATAAATAAATTAAAAAAAAAAAAAAATATATATATATATATATATATATATATATATATATATAGGGGGGCTAATAATTCAGGAGGACTACTAATTCTGACTGTACAAACATACAAAAAAGAAGAAGAAACACAATTAAGGGTGTTTTCACACCTACCTTATTTAGTTCGGTTAAATCGCACTAGTTTGTTTTCTCTCTTGGTGCGGTTCATTTGGGCAGGTGTGAACGTTACAATCGCACTTAAGTGCGCACTAAAAGCTGACCAAAAAAGCGTCGTGATACCTCCTTTAAGAATTGGTCTCGGTACGCTTTCAAATGAACCCTGGAGTGATTTGTTTGTGGTGAGAACATGATTCAAACTAAAACAGACCCAACTGCAAAAAGTACTGTGCCTTTTTGGACTAATCCAGCTGCCGTAGTTCGATGTACTGTACATTATGGGATGTGGACGAAAAATATTTGTTGACAGCGCTTTACCAACAATTTTAAACAGAGAGGGGGGGGGCATTAACGCTTTGGTAAGATTTCCGGAAGATGACCATGTCGCAGTTTCGCTAAATAAATTCATGCCTCCTCCTAAAGGGACTTGCAATGTGCCTTCGCCATTTGCAATGAATTAAAGCATTGTTTTCCATCCGCAGCCGCACTTTGTCTGTGAAGTGATGTATACAAACTAAATAATATACGATGACCAGGGATACAATCAGCCAGCACAGTCGTCCCTCCATAGCAAAAAGCAGCATTTTGCATCTGCCGATTTGTTTACTTGTGGGAGTTGCCATTTTAATTTTAATTCTGACCAGTCAAAATGCAGTTTAGGAAATATGTTTGAGAACATCTGGCCAATGAGTGATGTGGATTTTGTCACATGACTGCATTTTGGTTCTTTTCAACTGGTTCCGACCAAAGCAATCAGTGTGGTGTGAAAACAACCCAAAAACGGCAGAAAAGTGTTACAATGTATCATTTGTTGCTCTTAGTCCAGACCAAATGAACCAAATCACAGATGTGGAAGCACGCTAAAGCCTGGTTTATATTGGACACGTACGTTAGTTCCCTTGAGTGTGCGCAGTGAAAGTGACATAATTTCGGCTGGCGGATCGCATGTTTTTTTTTTGTTTGTTTTTTCGGGTAAACAGTTCGCGTGGCGCTGCATTTGATTTGAATTGAATATTAATCACTTTGAAGAGATTTTGTTTGAAACCAGTACGCCTGTACAGACACATTTATGATCCATCCATGTGTGATCATAGGGATAAGCAGATGACCAATAATTCTTGACTAGAAATTGCAACAGAAGTGGGAAAGGAGGAAAGTTTTCGTAAAAGTTTGGAAAAACTTGAGGGATAAATGTGTTAAAATCAAAAAGAGAGTCAAAAGTGGAGACCCAGGTGGTTTTAATACACAATTGCAGAGGATGTTATTTTACACTAATACATATATTACAATTTTGAATTTAAAACAATTTAATATTTACAAAACTAAAATGTCACAAATTATTTTGAAAACTGGAAAAGAATAATTGAACCTATCGGTTTACAGTATACTGATGTCTTATTTTTCTTAGGCTTTATTGGTGATAATGGTCAGGATTGTTGGACCATTATTGCCTTTTTAGTATATCAGTAGAGGACAAAAACTAGCCAGACAGTAATGTGTGAATTGTTGAGTGGGTTAAATAAAAAAAGTCATTAGTTTTTACATTTTTAGTAAGTGTACTTTGCTTTTATTCTTGCTGTAATAAAAATATACTTGTAGAGTAACAATGCTCTGTCATCAATATTTTAATAAACTTTAAAAGGTGTAACTTTCCAAGATATGAACAAAAGCAAGTGATGCATCAAAGTTTGAATTTATAAAATAGTTCTAAAATTTTTTATAATCATTAAAATAATTTCTAAAAATAATTAGTTCAAAAAGCTTAAATGATGATGATAAGACGTAGTTTTGGAAATTCTCTGTGAAAACTTCTCTGTTTATCCGTCTGATTTTACGATGGGTTTCTTTTGACAACTCCCTTTCGTTTTAAGGAATATCACTATGGCGAACGTGTCAAGTATAGAAGCATCGTCCATTTCATGAGGTGCGTGCGTATTCAGCGGAGATGCGCGATGTGACACCAGGCAAAGGTATTAAATCAGGCTTAAGGCTGATTTATACTTCTGCATCAAGCAGAATGCTCCGACACAACCATCACACGGTTGCCGGTGCTGATGCACACCACTCAAAATATGTAACTACACATCGCAACGACGCGTAGCGCAAGCTCTGTGATTGGTCGGCTTAGTAGCTGTGACCAGTGAGGGCGGGACCGACCGAGAGCTGCACAAACCTGTTGGAGCGAGTGTTTACAAGTGTCAAATCCCTTGAGGGAACTCCAGATGGAAACTTTTGTTTTGTGTTTATCTTGTGATTAAAGTTGTTGCACGTCTGTTGGTTCCGGCCTCTTAATAAGCGAGTTTTAACTGCTTACATTAAGGTAGCGTTCAGAAGAAAAAACACCTGCAAAGAAACTGGACACAGTAACATAAACACCTACTGCCAGCTAGTGTTTCGGAAGTGTTCTTGCAGAGCAACACAAATAGCAGAAGTATAAATGCATAGCTACAAGCAAGGCAGGCGCCATGGGTCAACGCAGAAGTATAAACCAGCCTTTAGAATTCTTATAAATACATATATAAATAAGAAACTTTAAACACTAATTTGTGGATAAAAAAAAAAAAAAATGAAAGAGAAAATTAGTCGGCACTAGGGTTGTAACGGTATGAATTTTTTACGGTATGATAATCGTCTAAAACAATACCACGGTTTGACGGTTTCGCGGTATACGGTATGTTACAAATGTTACAAAATAATAGAACAGTGAAGCAAATTTGACTTTTTCCAAATAATATATTTTCAGTTACTATAAACAACACCACTTACAATGAACAAATAAAAAAATAATAAAATAATAAATAATGTGTCAAAGTCCAAATAACGTCCAAATAAACATGGTGCAAATCCTCAGTAAAAAATAGATATAAATATTTACTATACTATAAATAGTTACATAACGAAACTAGATTCAATATGGAACATCCTTAGGTTTTATGTGCCAGCATGGATATGGTTGTCTGTGGATATGGATTAGGATATGGTTGTCTGCAATGCAGACAAACAGCTGCACCTTCATTTGCGTCTTTTGAAAACAGCAAGAGCAGCAGTTCATCTTTGCTGTGTCACTGTTTTGTCATGTTTCTGTGCTGCTGTGCATGCAAAAGTACTTAGTATGAGAATTGTTTCATGCAAAACTTTTTTTTTTTTGCGTTTTATTTAGCCGCGCATAAATGTATGCCTCTCATTCCGTGTTGTTCAAAAAGCTCATTGTTGGTGCACAAACAAAAGCGAAACCTATGCTTATTGGTTGTGATATAGCGAGTTTGAACCAATCTGGGCATGGAGGAGGGACAATGCATCAATGTATCATGTCTGGTTTGTCCGGAGACACAGTGACGAGCGTTTCTTTGTCAAATCAGCGTTGTAAAATTTTGATGACGTAAACGCACTGATTCCGGAGCCTCTGAAAGTCCACGAATGTTATGTATGTGGAAAGCTGAGATTCTCTTCTTTATGCCAATTTTTGAATTGTATGAATCGGATCAGCGGATCAAAAGTTATTAAACATTTAAGAGCAATACTTATTTTTAGCCGCGGGCGGCTGTCTCGGTCTTTAAGGGTTAAAACCGTTGATATGCAATTGTTCATGGTATGATAATCGTGCACGTTCAAATCGTGGTAGACCTTCATACCGGTATATTGTTACAACCCTAGTCGGCACCAATAGCCTAGTGGTTAGTGTGTCGACAAATAGCACCTAGGTGCTCGCGGCGACCTGAGTTCCCCTATCTCTGCTCCCTACACTTTTCTGTCTGTAAAATCTCCACTGTCCTATTCCAATAAAGGCAAAACCCTTAAAAAATGTATAAAAATATAAGAAAATTAAATCGAACACGTTCATTCAGATGGTTTGCATCATTTTTCTTCTGATTATTTATGTGCTCCACCTGACTCTGTGATTATGACAGGCTAATACATACTTTGCTGCTGTTGATATCAGACTGGAGTTCTTTCTCTCTCTCTCTCTCTCTCTCTCTCTCTCACACTGAGTTCTAGAGTAGGGGAGGGGCGAGCATGTGTGTGTGCGTGTGTATGTGTATATGTGTGTGTGTGTGTGTGTGTGTGTGGTAGAGCGAGGGAAGGGAAGGGTCTGCCGCTGCACACCTTCACTAGCGCTTGAGAAACAGCGAGCGAGCGCTAACAGGACAGTTGAGTTGAGTCAGGTATCTGCCGGTCTCCATGGCTCTGGTTCTGGACGCCGCTGCTCACTGCATGGGGGCCTATTACTGCCTCATACGCACCCGCTTCAAGAGGCGGCGCAAGAAACGCTCCGAGCGCAAAGGTCAGAACTCTTTCTCTTTAGCAGGCCTGATGGAGATCTCAGATCACTTTTAGAAAACTAGCAGCACTTATGATTTCATTTAACATTTATTTTTAGGATCTGTTTTGAACTGGGGCTGGAAAAATCTGACATTGCAATGTTTAGTTTTACTGCGATGTATATAGTGATCGGAATATAGTTTGTGTTAAGAGTATGATTTGAATAGCTCTATTTGGAAAGATTTCATTATTTTAGACGGACTGAGATGAGGCGACGCAGTGGCGCAGTAGGTAGTGCGGTCGCCTCACAGCAAGAAGATCGCTGGTTTAAGCCTGGTTCAAGTCAGTTGACATTTCTGTGTGGAGTTTGCATGTTTTCCCTGCGTTCGCGTGGGTTTCCTCAGGGTGCTTCGGTTTCCCCCACAGTCCTAAATAATAGGCTAAATAATCCATAATGTATGAGTGTGAATGAGTGTGTATGGTTGTTTCCCAGAGATGGGTTGCGGCTGGAAGGGCATCCGCTGCGTAAAAACGTGCTGGTTAAGTTGGCGGTTCATTCCGCTGTAATGACCCCGGATTAATAAAGGGACTAAGCCGAAAAGAAAATGAATAAATGATGACTGAGATGATTCTATGTCGTGGATCTGCATAAATTATAATAAATTACAAGCAAAAGCTAATACATAAACAGTGCTTTATTGTTTTCTGGAGAGTCTAACAGCAATTATGTACAGAAATTGAACAATCAAATGTAAAATAAAAGGCTCATCATTGTCTAAATATTACAAAAATAATCCTATTTAATCTTTTAAACTTTAATAAATGCTCTAATCTTGCGATGTGAGCTTTGCAGATACACACATTGCAATATCAATGCTCAAATTATATACTATTTAGCCTTAGAATTACTCTGTTTTATGTGTGTGTTCATATTAATTGAGAGTAGTGGTGTAACGGATCTTATGGTTTTGATCACATTAGTGTTTTTCAGTTTCAAATCGGACCGTTTTTTTTTTTTTTTTTTTTCTGTATCAGCCAAAAAGTAGACGAGACAAATGCAATTTGCTTTCAATTTATTACTTAACAGCACTGCAAGAAACTTTTGCTTTTAACAAACAGAACTTAAAAGCTGTATTTTTATTAAAATAAAATGAAGAAATAATCAGCTAAATAATAATAAATAGTAAAACATGCATTACTGTGAAAAATTCACTGTTATTACTGTTGCTGATGACGCTAAATGTAGAAATCTAACATTATATTTGTACAACCCATATTTATTTTAGTCTCATTTTCAATAAATGATTCAGTCATTCACTCATAATCCTTCATGTTTCATTGCTAGATTTAGAATTATTCAGTGGCATATTTTTGATGGTGGATTGTTGCCACCTATTGGTTAAGTATTGTATTTGCTGCCTAAAACTTTTAATTTTTGAGCATCAAGGTAAATGCATACGACAGTGATTGTAATCGTTGCCATAAACATCAGGGATTATATCTAAACTGTCTGTTATGCCAGTATTGCTGTGCTATTTGACTGTATGTACACTCCAGAGTTTTACAAATGGTATTAAAAAACAAATGCGAACTGTAATTCAGGAAATAGAAAATTTTATATTTTTACGAAAACTTCATATTGAAGCCATACAAGCGATACAGTATTTGTGACCGATTGAAATGAGCTAGTGAAGGAAAATAGGCAATTTTTTTGTTCTGCCTGGTAAAATCTTGTATCAGTTTGAAAAAAATGAAGGAGAAAATAAAGTGTGTTAAGCCACAGGACTTTAGAAATATTGGAGAGTCTACAGGTCCTTATTTTCTTTTTAAAATAGCTTATCTTAAAGATTATTTAGTGTAAAACTACTATAGGATGTATGCCTTATTATTGCCTAATTATTTATTTTTTATTATTGTTACTTTGCAAAATTAAAGCACACTTTTTTACCAGTGCTTAAGATATTTAAAGAGTTACATTATGCATGTGAATAGTTTATTTGAGTGTAAGTTTATATATATATATATATATATATATATATATATATACATATACATATACATATACATATACACACACACGCTTGAAGTCAGAATTATTAGCCCCCTTTAAATTTTAAATTTTTTTCTTCTTTTTAAAATATTTTAAGGTCGCTGGTTCGATCCTCGGCTCAGTTGGCGTTTTTGTGTGGAGTTTGCATGTTCTCCCTGCGTACGCCTGGGTTTCCTCCGGGTGCTCCGGTTTCCCCCACAGTCCAAAGACATACGGTACAGGTTTATCGGGTAGGCTAAATTGTCCATAGTGTATGAGGATGTTTCCCAGAGATGGGTTGCGGCTGGAAGGGCATCCGCTGCGTAAAAACGTGCTGGTTAAGTTGGCGGTTCTTTCCTCTGTGGCGACTCCGCATTAATAAAGGGACTAAGCCGAAAATGAATGAATAAATAAAAGCAGTTTTAAATTTTTTAAAAACACCATTTTAAGGTCAAAATTATTAGCCTCTTTAAGCTATTATTTTTTGATAATCTACAGAACAAACCATCATTATACAATAGCTTGCCTAATTACCCTAACCTGCCTAGTTAACTTAATTAACCTAGTTACGCCTTTAAATGTCAATTTAAGCTGTATAGAAGTGTCTTGAAAAATATTTAGTGAAATATTGTTTACTGTCATTATGACAAAGATAAAATAAATCAGTTATTAGAAATGAGTTATTAAAACTATTATGTCTAGAAATGTGTGGGAAAAATCTTCTCCGTTAAACAGAAATTGCGGAGGAAAAAAAACGGGGGGCTAATAATTCTGACTGTGTAAATAATAACTTTAATACATTTTTGTAATTTTCTGATATGTTTTTTATGATGTGCACTGAAGCCTTTACTTTCAACGGATGTAGTCTGTTTTGGCAAATACACAATTCATTTATTTATTCATCCATTCCATTATGTCGGTAGGTACAGTAGGTAGGTAACATTTTAACATTAAATTACCTTGTTAATACACCTTGTAAGCTTGTACTTGATTATTTAATTTAGAGACTGACATAGTATTGTTTGGGCATTAAAAATCATTAAGCAGTGTTTTCTCTACAGTATGAACTTTAGTCCAGGATTTATGCACGATTTGGTTTCTTCTTGCAGGAGTTCTCATGTATTTCTACAGATTTTATGAATGATGTCTGTTTCTGTGAAGCTTAGTTTAGCTAGAAGAATCAAGCGAGACTCTTTTCAGTGTACAGTATGTCTGGCTGCGTCTGTCTGTGGGTGTTTTTGTCTGATGGTCACCATGGTGATGAGCCACAAACAGGAAGAACAAAGATCACTTCTGAGCAGACAGTTGTGCATTTTTACCATGATTATTTAAAAAGGCCTCATTTGAATTGAAGTGTCACTATCTTACAAGCCACTATAAACTTTATCTTTTTGTCAGAGGTATAATGTAATTTTGTCGTTTAAAATGTAATCAATTTTTAGTGTGATTACCTGTTCCTTTATATCCTTATATTATCAAACACAGGTCAGAATAAGATTTTTTTTGATCTATGAATGATAATGTAACAGTATTTCACCCATATATACACAATAAATACCACAAACCTGTAATTAAACAAGGAAACATGATGAAAACAGTGCTCCTAGCGACCAAATGAGCATCAGAGCTTCCTTATATCGACAACAAAAACAGCTTAACACTTTTCTTCTTTGCAGAGATATATTTTATAGTTTTTTTATTACTATGTAGATTGTGTCAAAGCAGCTTAACATAGATGGAAAACAGTGTAAAACCATAATATTTACAATAATATTAAAAATGTATATATTTATAATAAGATATACACTCGCCGGTCACTTTATTAGGTACACCAATTGCTAGTTAACGCAAATTTCTAATCAGCCAATCACATGACACCAACTCAATGCGTTTAGGCATGTAGACATGCTCAAGACGATCTGCTGCAGTTCAAACTGAGCATCAGAATGGAGAAGAAAGGGGATTTAAGTGACTGAATGTGGTATGGTTGTTGGATCTAGATGGGCTGGTCTGAGTATTTCAGAAACTGCCGATCTACTGGGATTTTCACGCACAACCATCTCTAGGGTTTACAGATAATGGTCCGAAAAAGAGTAAATATCCAGTGAGCAGCAGTTCTGGGCACAAATGCCTTGTTGATGCCAGAGGTCAGAGGAGAATGGCCAGACTGGTTCCAGCTGATACAAAGGCAACAGAGTTTGCATGTTCTTCCTTTGTTGGCATGGGTTTCCTCTGGGTGCTCCGGTTTCCCCCACAGTCCAAAGACATGCGCTATAGGTGAATTGAATAAACTAAATTGTCCGTAGAGTATGTGTGTGAATGAGTGTATGGGTGTTTCCCTGTATTTTGTTGCAGCTGGAAGGGAATCCCCTGTGTAAAACATATGCTGGATAAGTTGCTGGATCATTTCGCTGAGGTGATCCCCGATGAAAAAATGGACTAAGTTAAAGGAAAATGATTGAATGTATCGTCATTTTTCAGAATTTGATAATAGCATAACATTTTGATAAATTAGCTGGAATTTTTGGAAATATTCAACTCTAATGTGGTGATAGTTGGAAATGTTCTTTCTGTGAACAGAAACAGGCTGGGAGATGACCAGCTAAAACCAGCTTGACCAGTGTAGCCAGGCTGGGAGTCAAGCCAAAACCAGCTTTGTCCAGCCTAAACAAGGCTGCTTAAGCTGGTTTTAGCTGGATTTAGGACATTTGGACATTTTCCAACCTGACCAGCTAAGTCCAGGTTTGAAATGGCTGAATACCAGCCTGGAAATGACCAAAACCCCTCTAAAGCCAGGCTTGTCAACCAGCTAAAACCAGCCAACCAGCCAAGGCTGGCTTAAGCTGTTTTTTTTTAAGTAGTGTGGTCCAATTCAAAGTCTGAAGTTATGGAAACACTTTCAGCAACTTAAACTTTTTTCTTGTTTTAGGTTCTTTTTTTAAATGAAATATGAATGATTATTTTTAGTTGCTCCAATTAACTCAAATTTCCTT